CGGCGGTCCGCCGTCATCCATGGGCCCCCTGCCAGAGGGGAGGCCCTGCGATGGCGTCACTGCATGTGGCATGATGGCAGCGAGCAGGGCGCTGCGCTGAGTGGCAGGGCGAAACAGGGCGGCTTGAGGTTGCGGGGGCCGTGAGCCCTTCCACCGCCAGACGCCTGGATGCGGGCGTGATGGCCGGGTCAGGGCAAAGGGGTTTTGAGCGACGGGCGCCGGCGGGACCATGGTGCTGTTGGCTCACGCCCTCTGCGCACTCGCCGTCGCCTCACGCTGGGCCCGTGCCCTGCCAGCTGTGGACTTTGTCAACCGGCTGACGCCCGTGGTGGAGGCGGAGGGGCACCACCCTGACCTGCACATCACGAATTGGAGGTGCGCCGGCAGGGGACCAGTGAATCAGGAACCGGTGGGGAGAACGGGATATGGGATAAGATACAGTAGGTAATTGGAAGGCAGGGCAGGGCAGGAAGAAATGGGAACCAGGTCCTCCGGGCTTGGAGCCATCCTGTCTTGAGCATTGCTGTTGTTCAGGGTGGGTTGTGTGGGGGGATGGGCGCCAGCCCTGGACTGTGATGTCGAGTAACGCTTTCCACAGCAGCCCAGCAGAAAGGGCGTGAGCGATCGTGTGTTCGCTGCTGCGGTTGGGGACATTTGCCTAAAGGTGCCGTGCCGTAGGAGCGAGCCGTCTATGTGGCTCTCCTGGGGTGCTCTGGCCTGCCTGCCGCCGGCAAACACCTGCATGGCTGTGTGTGCGCACACGTGTGTGTGTGACTTTGTCCAGCACGTGCGCGCACGCGTGTCCACGCGCGCGCGCACACACACACACACACACACACACACACACACACACACACACACACACATTCACACACACACACACACACGCACAAAGCATCCTCCTTATACGCTGCTCCACATACACACGCACATCAGCAACCACATGCACCATCCTCACACATTGCTGCGCACACGCACGCGCACACACACACTCTCTCTCTCTCTCACACACACAGTCAGTAACACGTCAGCAAAACACACACCTTTTGGACAAAACGCGCGTGTGATCGCCACCGCCACCGCCACCCCCCCCTCAGGGACGTCCAGGTGGTCTTCACAACCCATGCCATCGGCGGACTGGCGATGGCGGACTTTGTCATGGCAGCAAAGGTCGACACAATCCCCGTGGACTACAGTCCAAAGTGGCTCAAGCAGCAGCAGGCCGCCGGACTGGACGTGCCGGGCGTCCGGCCAACGGGCGAAGCCGCGGCGGCTGGTGCGGGCGCGCAGGCGGCAGCAAGCAATGACGGTCGTTGAGCGGAGCACGCGCGCACGTATGCGTGTGTGCATGTGTGTGTTTGTGCGGGTGCGTTTGTGCGGGTGTGTGTGTCTTCGAGGCAGGGTAAGAGTCATGCATGATGGTGTGCAGACCGTGATCACCGCACTCGACCAGCTGCTTTGCATACGTGTGGAATTGCGTTGACGTTTCTGCTCCGCCGCCATGTAATTCTTTCGGCCTTTGATGAGCTTGCAAAATCACGAAGCTTTTCCGCACTGGGCTGCTAGTTTGTATTTGACCCGAGTTGTTGTATGAAACCGGTTGGTTGGTTTGGCGGGAGAAGTCTACCTGGCCTAGACGATTGTAACAAGGCAAAGCGCAGAAACGTTTCCGTGAAACAGCCCCAGCAGACTGGAGGCTTATGTTGGAACCCTCCGTGCGCCAAGGAGACGTACCAGCCCGGCCCACACCTGCCCGAAGTGCCGTGCCTGTGCGCCAGGCTTCGAGAGCAGAGCCGTGTAATTTGCAAGTCCGCCCGTGTGTCACTGCGGGGACTGGGGGCTGCGGGGCCACGTGCGTCAGCTTGCAGGGCACGCGGCCCGGGCGGCCGATCGGCCTCTTGCGGGCGCAGCTTGCTCGAGTGCAGGCATGCGCACTGGGAGCGCTCTCCCTGCAGATAAGGGCATACAAACGAACCCTGGGGGCATTGCAGACATCTGCCGGGTCTCGTCTGTCGGCTGGCGCTAGGGGTGGCGCATTGCACCGTCACTTTCGCAGCTAGTGCGCCGCCTGCCCCCCCCCCCCACACACCAGCCCCTAGCACAGCGGGGGCCGGAACACACGCAGGGATGTTACTCTTCAGGGCAACAGCAACGTCGCGGGCAAACCCATTGTCCAGAGTGCGGACCTGCGCAGCCGCGGCGTGGACGACCCCGGTGCGGAGCTCCGCACACCGGCCACTTGCAGCGTCATGGCCCTGCTCAGGTGACGTCCCGCCTATCAATAGGATATGGTACATTCACAAGCCGACGGCGTCAGGCGCCCAGAGGGGCGGGGCGCGGTGCGCCTGAACCGTACATGATGGTACTGAAGAGTGTCATAAATCGGGATCGTCCAGGCGGACAAGCATCAGCGCGCCGCCAGCTTCTTGCTGCTGATGTGTGCAGCCGAGGGGCCCCTGAACGGCGCGCGCACGCGTGCTATTATATCACGGGAAGGCGCCACGGCAACGTGCCGCCTGCATGGGGCGGCCCGGGGGCACCAAAGGGGGACGACAGGGCCAACGTGGGGGAGGCGAGCACCGCGGCATACGCAGGCCCTGCCAGCATGTGAAAGGGCTCGCTTGCCCGCCTCACGCCAAGCTCAACAGCCCCCCCCTTGACCGCCCGGCTTCCAGAGCCCCGGATCCACGGCGCGAGCGCCGCGGGCGGGAGACGGAGGGGCGGGTGCTGCGGATGCGATGCACGCTCCCACAGATCAGGGCCAGGGGCGCCACTCGGCGCTGCGGCGGCGCTATGCAAAGCAGCAGACTAGACCCGAGGCTCTGCGGAGCACCCACAGGTGTGAGTGCTGCGCAGGCCCCGATGGGGCTTAGGCCTGGGTCGGAACCGACGACGGCGGCAACAGGCGGGCGGTGTCGCAGCGTGGCCGGGGGCGGGTGGCGGGCACCCCGCACCCCAGCCGACGCGCCCACGACGATGGGGCGGCCAGGGGCAACAGGAAGGATGCTGCGCAGCTGCCGGCGGTGCCATGACACGCCGAGCAGGAGCACCCCTCAAGCGCCGCCGGGCGCCACGCTCAAACCAACGCCATCAAAACACACAACAACAGGGCTCGCAAGCCGCTCGATGAGCGCACACGTGGGCGAGGGGGTGCACGTCGTAGTGGGGGGGCGCCACCCCCCCCCCAAAGGCGAAAGGGTGCCGCTCAAGCTCCAGCGGGGAGGGCAGGCGTTTCCCTGGACCCCGTGAGGCGCAGGGAAGTTGGTCGGCCGCAGGAACTGGGCGGCGACAACCCCTGGCCGCCAGGCGGCAGCGCCCGCCCCGGCGGGAACCATTTGGCATTGGTAAAGAAGGCCTCGACAAACTGACAAACAGTGCGGGCGACGCGGGGCCTGGCGGGAGGGTGCGGGGCAGCCGCGGGGCCGTGTAGAGATACACCAACACACAGACGCACACAGAGGAACACACATGATGGGAGCACGGCGCACGCCTGGAGGCGCGGGCGGCTCGGGGTCACAGATTTGAGGGGCCGGCCGCCGCGAGGGCGCGGCTGCGGCGCGGGCGCTTGCGCGCGCTGCGCGCCCGCCGGGGCCGCGCGCCCAAGCGCGCAGCGGCCGGGGGGCTGGTCATACATGGAGGGGAGGGGAGAGTACAATCCGGCCGCGGGACTGGCGCGCGGCTGCCGCGCACCTGCGCGGCTGGACGGCCAGCCGCGGCCGCGCCGCCTGGGCGGCGCGGCCGCGGACGTCGGGCGCGCGTCACCGCTGCAGGTCCCAAAAGGCAGAGCCCTTGGGCGGCAGGATCACATCAAACTCCTCCTCCCCCTCATCCGCGGCCGCCGCAGCCCCCTGCTCCCGCCACGCCGCGCCGCCGCCGCCGGCCCTCGCGCCAGCGCTCGCGGCGAGCGCCGGCTCCCGATCCCACGACATGCCCGCGAGGCCCGCACCCTCCTCCTCTGCGTCCGGATCCCAGACCGCCCCGCTGCTCTGGTCGCTGCTGTAGCTCCCGCTGCTCGAGCCGCCGCCGCCGCCGCGGGCAAAGCCGAAGCCGCCGCTCGACGCCGATGAGAGCTGCGCCTCGTAATCCTCCTCCTGCTGCTTCTTGATCTCCTCCCAGGGCACAGACGGCTCAACCAGGTCCTCCTGCCCAAACAGGTTTTTCAAATTCACGACCGACAGCTGCCCAAGGTTCCGCACGACAAGGTCTGCGCCGCCAAAGTTCCAGGCCGGCTGGCCGCCGGTGACGACGACCGACTTCATGCCCAGCTCGTGCGCCGCCTCGACGCTGCGGTTGCTGTCTCCGACGACGACGCAGCGCAGCGGGGGCCGCTGGATCTGGTGGGAAGCTGACAGGTAGCTGGGCTCCAGATCAGGGGACGCGTTGTCCTCGGCGGTGACGACAGCGGCAAAGCTGCGCGCCAGGTTGAGGCGGTCCAGCGCGGGGCGCACGCGGCGCTCCGACAGAGAAGACGCCAGGGCGACGGGGATCTGGGGGAGCGAGGGGTCCAAGCGAGCGCAGGGGCAGTGTCAGCGTGGCGAGGCTCGCACGTGCACGTAGCCAACTGGGCCTGGCTGTCAACAGCACAGTCCGAAAACCCTAGGTCGCAGCGGCCCTTTGCACGCGAGGGCGGCCATGGACAGCCCCCATACACCCCGTCCTTCGCATGCTTTGTCAAAAAATGCAAGTCCCTCGCCCGACGCCGCTCGACCTCACTCTGCCACTGGCGCGCACCTTCACATTATGCAGGGTCTCCAGGAACGCGCGCACCCCCGGCGCCTCCGCGGGCGCGTTGCCGCTCATGATCTCGTCATACAGCTCTTCCTTGCGCGCCGCGATGGACGCAGCGGCGGAGGGGTTGCGCGTCCACGTCAGCAGCTGCATGACGACCTTGGAGTTGCGTTTGAGATTTGTGGTCGAGAGGGGTGAGGAGTCTTGGTGATCACACAAGGGACGGGAATTGGATGCCCCACAGCGCCAGAGGCCGAGCGCGCAAAGCCCGGAGGGTTATGAGAAAACTTGCACTCGACCAAAACCAGGTCTCGGCCGGGGAGCGCAGCCGCGGCGCGCGCAGCGCGGCGCGGCGCGGCGGCTCACCAGGTCGTCGCGCACGCCCTTGATGCGCGCCAGCGTGCTGCCGAGCGGCGCCGGCAGGTCCATCTCCGCCGCTACGCGCCGCCAGGCCTCCTTGTGCACCTCGAGGGTGGAGTCAACGACCACGCCCTCGTAGTCAGCGATGACGCCAAACCAGCCGGTGCCGAGGCGCTCCATCCGCTGCAGAGGGTTGTGCAGCAGCGGGTCGTCCGCAGCGGACTCGACGCGCTGCGGCAGCGGCAGCGCCTCCTCGGCCTCGTTCTGGCGCTCCAGGATGAAAGCCGGCACGGAGTAGCGCGCCACGACGCGGCGGCCGCGCGGCGGCGAGCTCGAGGCCGGCGCGGCACGGGCAGGCGCCGCGGCAGGGCGCGGCGCCGGGCGAGCCGCGAGCTCGCGAGGCCGTGGGGCTGCCATCATGCTGAAGGCCGCCAGAACACGTAACTGGCCACGCCTCGGGCGTGATGGAGGAACGGCCACGGCAGAGCGCGGCCCTGCCCGCAGCAGCGCCTGGCGTGCTTGCAGGCCACCTGGCGCCTGCATGCTTCGCCTTGTTGTTTCACTATTTTCTAAAAGGCTTCTCGCGCGCTGTGCCAGGAAGCGCGTGGATGGTAAGGGTGCAGTGTGATGCAGCCTTGCGTTCGAACAAGGCAGGAGTTTGAGCGGGAGTTGTCAACAAAAACAGAAAAATATCGAAGACTTGAGTGAGGTTGTGACGAAAGGTTGTCGCTGCGCAGCTCGTTCGAAGCTGGCTGGGAAGCAGTCTGTGGACTTGTGAGCGGCTTTCAGGTGTGCGTGACGGCAAGCTAACAAAGTTTGTGGTGTTTCAACACGCCGTCCATGCGGGGGCATGTGACCAGACCAGCGCCACAGGGGCCTGACTCGCTGCATGACAACGCACCCAATGGACGGCGCTCATGGCAATCACCGAACCTCTCCGTGTCAGCAAGCACCCAGTCACACCGCAACTTATGGCGATCATCCAGCGTGTGGCTGCATGAGTGTTGATATTCATACGGCTTTGATATTGTAATTGCTAGCAGGGAGCAGCACAAGGCCGCCACAGAGCTCGTGCCAGCATATCGTGCACCATCAAGGTGGCGCGATGGCGCACAGCAAGTTTACCCCAACCGAATTGCTGCGATGACGCGACCATCTGAGCGTCATGCTGTTACCCGCATGAGGCCATGCACCGTCATTGCTGGACACCTGCAATACGCTCTATACAGCGCATGCGGCCACCCACGCAGCGCCCACGAGTTGAAGGCGGGCGGGTGGGCGGGCGGGCGCTACAGCCCGCGACAAAACCGCCCCCACGCAGCGCCGCAGCCCGCAGCACCACCGGGCCGAGGCCGCCGCCTCGTGCTTGTGCGGTTGTTGTGCTGCAGCTTCTGGACGGCGGCATCATAGTGTGGCATAGGTGCTCGCAGACGGGTCGCTGATGAGGCTCAGAGGGAACCCCAGCCCAGCCCGCGGGTGCGGGCATGGCCCCATCACGCGCACACCCCGCACGTGCGTGTCTCTGCCGTTTTGGTGGTTGGCCAGGATCGCCACCTGCGATGATGTCAGCGAACAATGCAAGCAGAAACGTCGGCGGCGGCGGCAAGAGGCGCTGGCGCGGGCGCAAGGCATGGGCAGCCCGGCGTCATGCGCAGGGCCCCGCCCGCCTCAGCACCCACCTGCAAGCAGAATGCCCTGAGCGGCAGCGCCTGCTGGTTTGGCCCTAGGTGCCAGAGGTCTGTTTTGATCCAACCGCAGGGCTCCTTGAGTTCCAGTGTGCTGATGTCCTGGGGGTTGGGTGCAGGGGCGGGGCAACGATCGCATGTCACATAGCATAAATGATAGAGGTCATCGGAGGGGGGGGGGTGCTGATGCCTCCATACCTGGTTGCGCCGACGTGCCAGCCGGTCTCTCCCGGTGGTGCAAGAGGGGCGGCAGGCATCGTCGTGCATTCCGGTGCGAATCTTAGATGCTGAGCAAGCTCGTTGCCGCAGGCCCCTGCAACACTAGTTTAGTACAGGCTTGGGCCGGGGGGTCGCAGTCGCGACACGCTGTACGTAGGCACGGTCGCTGCTGATCAGCAGCGCGACCGCCGTAGCCGCAGGGAGCTCGCAGCAGGCTGCAGGGCCCCGAAGCAGGAGAGGGTCGATCGCTCCTTGCCCGCTCGCCTTGAGGTCGTGGCAGCCGGTGCCGGCGCGCACGATGATCTTGCTTGGGGTGTAGCTTTCGTCCAGCTTATAGTCAAGGTGCAAATGGATCTCCTGAGGGTGACGTGACAGGAAGTTGAGGACCAGGAACTTAAAGACCGCGCTGACCATGATCATGCCACATCGTTGACTCTTGCGCCCCTGCTGCTGCTGTTGGGACCAGAACCTGCCGCTGTTTTGCACTGCCCGCTAGCCTCGCGTAGTTGGGTGCTGCTGCGACGTGATGCATGCAGGGTGACGAAACGTGCAGTGGTGCCGCGGTTGGGGCCGGTTTTGATGGCGTGTCCTCCCTCCCCGGCTGTGACCCCGTCGGCTGTCCCCACCCACCAGCAAGTCGACGCGGCGTTCAAACTGGATTGTGATCAGGTGGGGCTGGCTCCCGTCAGATCTGCGGTAGGGCAGCAGCATGTGCAAAGGAAGCTGTCACATGCAGCCAAGGCAGCCAGCTTTGTACTCATTCTGACGTGCTGGCCCCTGCTGCATGCGACAGGGCCGATAACACAACGGCAAATTGAGCTCCAAGCAACTCACTGCCAGAACGTCAGAGGGTCGCCGTCCCGCAGCAGCTCCACGCCATTGCCAGGCTTGGCGCTGGTCACGCTCCAGGACGCCAGGTGCCCTATTTCACGCATGGCCCGCGACAGCAGGCGCGGCTGGGCAGGTGCGGCACCGAGGCGGTGTTGCGCCGCCCGCCTACGCTACTGCGCGCAGCGAGCTCGCATCAGGCGCAATAAGGGTTATGTCAAGAACATCATGCTGATTGTCAAGTACTGTTGCCTTGCACTTCGTCTGCGTGGCGCCAGATCACACTACTCGGCTTTATGTTGTAGACTGAAGCTAGATCTATTACATGAGCTCTGAACTGGATTTGCGCCCTTCTAAGTGCTCGGATTGGTTGTGGGGATTGGAGTCACTGCGGTGCCGACACAAGTCCAGGCATTGCTCATCAAGACTTGATACCCCGTAATTGGCATGCCTGGGCAGCAGTATCGTGGCTGGATTGTAGCTCACTGTGAACCACCCCCTGCTGCCGCCGGTTGAGCCTGTCTCTGCAGCAGTACAACTTTCAACTCCCCAACCCTGACCTGTGCCAGTGCCAGTGGGCAGGTCCCCACCCTGACCTGTGCCAGTGCACAGTGGCTCAGCGCCGGCCCAGCCCGCCGTGCAGTACGCGCATGCCCTCTGTGAATGTCATTGGCGTTTCAGTGGACAAACCCAGTCATTACCACGGGCATGGCTACGCGCAACACCACGAGCATGACGCTTAGGGAGGGATTTACCCAGACCACAACCAGCCCGAAGCATGCAACGGATGCTGCGTCCCATGGTAGCAGATCTTGCTGGAACACATGAGCATGTCCACGAAAGGGACTAGCACATGGGCGGCCTGGCAGTTGCTCCGCGCAAAAGCGTGCGTGATAGGCAGCACGCGCTGATTGGCCCCAGGCAACACACGCGGCCAGGGGTGTGCAGGACCCCACTTGGACCCTGCACAACAAACCTGCTTTCACGCCTGTCCCTGCCTCAACCTCCATCAATTGCGCCTCACTGGCGGCCCTCCCCGCCTTGGCGGGCTGCTTGCCGCCTCGCCACGAGCTCCGCTGCCCACGCCTTCCTGTGGATGGCCCCCGCAACGGCGGCACGCATGTTTGGTGGGGGTTGGGCGGTCGCACCGTCGGCTGCAAAGCGACCTGTAAGAACCACGATCACAGGCAGGCAAGCTCTGCCTCCCACTCTTGCACCGCCCGCGCGCTGCCCATTCCGCATGGCGGTGCTCAGCGCCTGCTGCTGCCCTCAGCCTTGATTCCAATGACCCTGCAGGTCCAGGCGCCCCAAACAGCAAGCTTTACAGCCATAGTGAAGCGCGCTGCCCTGCAGCAGGCAGCACCCACCCCGTTTCTGTCTTGAACTTGCCGGCAGTTGAATCGAAAAACTGCTGCAGCTCCAGCCCCTGCGCCTGCTCATACTCGTGGGCCTGAACGCAGCAGACACGACAAAGACGTTGCGAAACGAGGTTGCAAGAGTTGGGAGCAGGTAAAAGTAGGGCGCCAGCACTTGCGTATTGGTGCAAAGCGTGAGCCACTTCTACAAAAGCCGCGCCATCTGCACGACAGCTGCCCAGAACCGCACCGCTGCCGCGTGGGCGCCTGCGGCTGAGCATGTGACAGCCCATCACCTGCACGATCATCTCCAGTTTGTCGAAGTCCTTGACCAGGTGCGCCTCACGGCTGGACTGCGCCTCGTACTCGCGCCACAGCTCGGCGACCTCCCCGGCTGGCGGCCAAATCGCATGGGGCATGCTTTTGCATTGGATGAAGTGCAGCCTATGCAGAGCGCAGCGCAACAACATGCGGCTGTGCCTGCCTGGGTGAGTGCTGAGTCAGCCGGGAACCAAAGGGCAGCACGCACTAAGCACGCGCCCTGGGCGGGGCCGCGCCCCAGGTTGATTGCACACTTGCACAGCGGCATGCGCACGGCCCCTATGTCTGCAAGCGCTTTGCGGTCGTGACTGCGTCTCACCCGCCTGCGTCTCGCGCCCGAGCATCTCCTGAATGCGGCCCACCGCCTCCGCCTCCATCGCATGCTTGTCCGCATCGCTCACGCCGCAGTGGGGGGTGATGTCACCGACCAGTGACTCAGCCACGTCATGCACGAGCGCCATCTTGATGCACCTGGGGGTGGCGGGGGTTCGTCAGCCGCGTCGCCGTACGTGGCTTGGGAAGTATTGCGTTTTGCGCAGCGCCAGAGTGCGTCGTGTTGCTGTTAACGCTGCCGTGAATGGTCAGCTCAGTAGGGCAGGTGCTGACAAAACCGTGTTGGGAGCTGGCGTGCGGCGAGAGGAGGGTACGTACAGTGCGCTACGCTGCGCAGCGTGCGGCGCGGTGCGTGATGCAGGGCTGCGGGGCGTCACCTGACGGTGTCGACGCCGACGGCGCCGCCGTCACCCAGGATGAGTGACATCATCCCCATGCGGTACATGTGATCTGGGGTGGACGGTTTGGGGAGGTTCTGTTTTGGTGGGGGAGGGGGGGGGGCAGCACTGCGCCAAAGTAATGACGCCTCAAATGGGAGGCGCAGCCACAGGGATTGCTCAAGGTGGCGCCAGGGGGTTGCCGGATTGCGTGGCTAGCTGATCGGGGACACCAGCGGATCATGGCCGGATAGCAACTCCTGCGCGGATCGTATGCGCATGCGCACCTGCAATGCTCTCGGGCTGCTGCACGTTGCACCTGACCCATCCGGTGCGTTTGGTGGTCTGGCAAGAGGGGGGGGGCGAGGGAGGCGCATGGCATCGGACATTCGGGGTGTTGATGCGGACCCGAGCTCATGGCGGCGCCGCTGCAGCCGCTGCGCTCTCAGTTGGCTGGGCCAAAGTGCTGGGCCCTCGACGGTTTTTGCGGAGGGAGCAGTTGCAATGCTTCTGCAGGAACCAAAGCGCGGCTGCGCACACCTTAAGCTTCTGCAATAGCAAGAGGAAGTCAATCGCAGACTTGGGGCTCGGGACCCGCGTTGCCCCAGCCCCCTCCGCCGCGGAGACCACGGGTGCTCCTGCTGCTGCGCTTCTGTCTTCGCTAGGGCCGGACGCCTGAGCTGACATTGTCCTGCGAGCTGCAAAACCCGCTGATGCTGCTTGTGTTCTACAAATATGCCGCCAGCCGTGCGCTGAGAGGACTGCAGGCGCAAAGCGGCAGCCAGCCGAGAGCATCAAGCGCAGTCTTTGCGGCGGGTGCGTGCTGTATCGCACCCTACACGTTGCAGGTTTACGTTGAGCCACCAAGAATCTGCTTCTTTGGCATGCAGGGACAGGCTATGATCAATTAGTCTCTACTGCAGCTGATCTCGAAGCACACCTGGTGACAAAGTGAGAGGATAGACAATTTGTCGAGGGTAATTGTCGCCTACTGTGAGCGTGTATCAAAATTCATAATTGACATATTCCTGTATGGTACGAAGCACATTTTGTGATCGCTACCGTATGCCTGGGAGCAGCAACGGTATCAACAAACCCACCACACCGTAGATGCTTAGGAGCGATCTCACATCACCGATTGACATGATCAAAGCATGCCAGGAGCAGTGGCGGCGTCGCCGTCGCCGCCAGCAGCCCTCGCCAGCCTCTGCGCTGCTCTCGACACGGCCGGCCGCTGCGCTGCAGGTGCCGCCGTTGCTGCCACTGCTACTGCTGCTGCTCGCCCCCTGTCAGCGTGCGCTGGCACAGGAAGCCCTGTGCCAGCCCGGCCTGATCAAGCTGGAGGAGCCAAGGGGGCCGCCTGCGCGGGTGCAGCTGCCCTTCTGCAAGGAGTTTGGCTGCAGCTGCTGCGCCTCGCGGCACGCCCTGTCTATCGCGCGCGCCTTCTCGCGCACCACCGACGGCGGCGACACTAGCGACGCGTGCGTTGCGGCGCTGCGGCTGCTGGCGTGCCGGCCCTGCGACCCGGAGGTGGGTGCTGCTGTGCTGTTCGCCGTTTGTCATCCTGTATCAAATTGCTTTGTCAAATCGCTTATCGCAAGACGCACGCAGGGGCACATCGCCAGGTGCGCTTGTAAGCCGGCCTGCGCCCCTCTCAAACGCGATCGCAGGTCGGCGTCGGCTCAAAACCAGCAGTTTGTCTGCAAACCTGCGACGCCACGTTTGACGCCTGCAGAGAGGTGCGGCGCTGCGTGCTGCCCCCATGGCGGTGCTGGCGCCGCTGCGCTGCCGCCCCATTGTCAGCAGCCGCCTTGTATGCTGCACACACCACCATCAACACGCGAACGCGGGGCCCAAGGTCTCTGGCGGCTCCCCCACAGTACGGCCTGGTGACCTGATGCTCCGCATACAGCTGTTCTTGGCACTAAATGATGTTCACACGCGGCACCCCAAACGACACGCCCCAGGATTTCTTCACTTTCTCGGAGTCCTCGGGCTCCCTGGCGCCCTGCGGCTCGGAGACCGCCGGCGCGCTGGTCTGCAGCACGCTGAGTCAGCACGTCTCCGGCGGCCGGGGCTACTGCGAGGCCATGGGTGCGCGGGGGGCGATGCGCAGCGCAGCACACAGCGCATGCGGCTGCGGGTTCGACTACATGCGTCGCGCAGCAGGCGAGGGCACAAATGGGCCTGAAAGCTCTCGAACCTTACTACCTTCCACCATCTTAGTGCTGCACGCAGCCTTGTTTCATAGCCATGCATGGCACAATCCGTCACGATCGCGCACAAAACCACCCGGTGCACCAACAGGGTGGGCGGTCGCGGAGGAGCAGCCCTGTTACAATGGCAGCGTCAGCAGCGAGGCCGCTGACCAACTGTGCGCGGCCAGCGACGCGGCGGCAGAGGGGCGCAAGCAGCGGCAGCAGCAGCGCCGGCAGCGCGGGCGGCGGCGCGGCGGCGGCGGCAGCGGTGGCGCCTGGGCCGGCAGCGCGCTGGCGTGGCTGGCGTCGTCACCGGCGGAAGTGCAGAGGGCGGCGGCGGGCGGCGCGATGCTGCTGGCGGCGGGCGCGCTGCTGCTTGCGACCGCGCTGGCGGGGCGGCTGGCTGCGCAGCAGGTGGGTTGCACCTTGCGCGCCACCAATCCCGCTGCCGCGTCCTTTGCGTCTGCTTCCGGCTGCACCTGTCCCCGGCAGGCTCGGATGCTGCGTTTCCCCGGTCGATAACCATATCATTTGTCGATCGAAAACCAGAGCGGCCTTGATTGGCGATGATCCAACCCCAACACGCGACCGCCTCACCCTTTGCAGCGGCGGCGGGCTGTCTTCAGGCGTCTCCGACTCGGCGGCGGCGACACGGGCGGCGGCGGCGGCGGCGGCGGCAGCGGCGTGGTATCAGCGGAAGACCAGCGGCAGGCTCAGCTGCAGGCGGCGCGCATGCGCGAGGCCACGGCGCGAGCGGCAGTAGTGCGAGCGGCGAAAGCAAAGGCGGGCAAGAGCTAGCGGCCGGCGACGCCCGTCGTGGTGGCAGATGGCAGGCCTGATGCGCTCTGCTGCCGCAAGCCGCCTTGGACGGGGCTGATTTTGTTGGTGCAAAGTTGCGTCCTGCCCCGCTATTGCGGCGGCTGCACAACTGACCAACGTTGCAGCAGATTGTGGTTTTTGCTGCTGGAAGTGCAGGCATCACCATCCTGTGTGCCCGTCACTGCTATGTACAGCAACGTGCGAAAAATACCCCTGGCTTGTACTGTAGCATGCATACGGCACGATTGATGTGGGACTTGCGGTTACAAAATAGTAACTCCAGCGTGCTTCCTGGCAACGCACCCTGGAGAAGTTGTCATTGCTTTTTCGCGCCGTTGGCACCCGATGCCGTAGACAGCACCCTGGCGCCCGCGGGCACGGCCCCGGCAGCTGCCGAGCCGGCGGCTGCCGCCCCCTCCAGCTGTGCGAGCCGCGCCGCCAGCGCCTGCTGCCTGTCCTGCAGCTCCCGCTCGAGCGCTGAGCGCTCCTCGTCCACCCTCCGCACCACCAGCTGCTCCACAGCTTCCTCCAGAGTCTGCGGCTTCTGCGTTTGGGTGACAAAACGCCTTCGATCAGAAAGTTCGGGCTGTGTGGCGTGCTGCTTAGGAGGGTTGGCAGGCTGGACGGGTTAGTGCAGCAAGTGCAGGTGCTGCTGTATGCACACTCGAATCATTTGAACAAGCTGCCTGATGGCAGTTTGTCCCTGCTACCAACCTTGGAGAGCTGCTCCTGCCTCGCTGCCGCCTCCTCCCCCCGCCGCCGCTCTGCCTCCGCCTCTGCGGCCGCCTCTCGCGAAGCCGCCTCGGCCGCCGCAGCAGCTCGCGCCGCCTCCTCGCGGTGCGACGCGTCGGCCGCGAGCTTTTCGCGCCACTCGTCCTCTGGCAGGGCCATTTCCAAGGGCGTAGCTGCCATGGGCGCTTCCACCTGCGCGCAAGCACACCACATGTGACACGCTTGCATGCACATCATATGCACCGAGAAATTGTGAGTGGGTATTCGGTCGATGTTGCTTGGGCGTTCGTCATTATCTACGTGGCTCAGGTGCATCCAATTCATGCTGCTGTGCGTGCAGGACGCCGCGTCGTCCGCTGACGCCCACGCACGGCTCTGGTC